TGATTGGGAGGAAATGGGGATTTTGCAGTAACTTCCCCTGCCACGCCCACCAAGCCACACCCACAGAAGCAGAAGTAAAAAGTTTTGAATCCTACCACTGATGCAAACACAGAAGAAGACATTCCAAAGTTGATGTCCCATGAGACCTAAATTAACCAGATCATTGAGACAAAGATTTCATGAGATACTTGGCTTGGTTAGTAATCTTAGTTAGGTATTTTTCAGTACAAAGAATCCTCAATTTAAGACCACAATTGGGACTGGAACATCTGTCACTAAGTGAGGCAGTTGTTAAGTGAGTCAAGTCCATTTTATGGCTTTTTTCTGCAGTTGTAAAGCAAATCACATGGCTGTTAAGTGAATCTGGTTTACCCCATTGTCGGAAGTCATCTAGGAAAGACATAAATGATGATCATCCAAGTGCCCAAATTTTTATCATATGACCATAAAAACATCATGACAGTTGTAAATTTGAGGACGTTTCTCAGCACTGTTGTAACTTTGGTCACTAAATGAATGATTGCAAATCAAAGACTATCTTTAGATTAAATAGCAGTGGGAATTCAATCCATGGAGCTAGGGGTTAAAGTCCTTGCATTACCCATAAAAGGGGATATTTCAGTCACCAGGTTAAGCATCTTGTGTTACAAATTCAACAGATTTACTCCAAAGTAAATTTGTTTTCAATTGAACTGCCGGTTCATAGTAGCTCGCTGAATCAGCCAAGCTACTTGGGAACCCACAATCTGTTGATTCAGGGGAAAAATTGTTTTTAAGGCAAGAATCAAACATACTTATGCATCAGAGGTGGGGGATGGGAGTCCCAAACAATAAGTAAATAAAGCGAGAAAATATGTTTGTTGGTGGTAAAATGTTTTTTAATGGGGGAAAATATGTGAGATTTTTTTATGAGGTAAAAATATTCATTTTTTTTGCCAGTTTCAATTATGGCTTTATTCCAAGTTTCTAATCACCCCCAAATAAGGGGGGAGGGAAACCCATGAAGATATTTCTGATTTTCAATGTTTACTTTTTCAATGTTTATTTTTCCATTTAATTTTATTTTATACAATGAGGGATGGGGGGGGGAGAAAAAAAGTATACAGGACCATCTTCTAATTACTCTTTACATATGCATTTGTGTTGTATTACTGAATTAGTCATATTTAAATCAGTTTTATACAACAATTAAAAAGGAAAATGAAACACATATATGGTCATACATAATCAAAATTGCTGGTGAATGCTCTGAAACGCCCAGTGATAAATTCCTTTTCAAACAAGAATGAGCTATAAAGTCACACAAATTCATTCTCAGTTGGATGCTGGGTTTTTTGCCTAGAGTCTAGAATCCTAGAGAGATGCTAAAGGCAGAGTCTTGCCCTGTCATCTAGCAACAATTTAAACCTGTTGGGCCTGAGGAAGTGGACATGATCCTTGGGATGGTGAGCTCAGCCACCTGATCTCTAGATCCATGTCTTTTCTGTCTAACTAAATCTGCCAGGGATTGTGTTGTGTGAGTGGATTCTAGTGGTGGTGATTTTTTTCCTTGATCTTCCACCTCTTCAAGAGGTCTTGCTGGATCCACCATCTGGACAACTTTCATCCAGCATCTTACCTCTCTTTTGGGGCAGGAAAGTAATTGAGAAGTTGGCCAACCAGCAGCTTCAAAGGATAACAGAATAAGAGAGTTGGAAGGGACCTTGGAGGTCTTCTAATCCAACCCTGCTCAAGCAGGAGACCNTAGTAGATAAGTAGATTAATTCATGGGCCCAGCACACTGTTTATTCTCCTGTATACTGAGCCCAATAGCAAAACAATCGGTGATCTCAATTGGAGAGAGAGAGGGAGGGGGAGAGAGAGCAATTTCTGGATTTCTTCTAATTTCTTTTCAGCAAAGCATCCTATAGTAATTTTAAAAGGTGGAGCCTTTTAATTAAAAAAAAAGGTTTAAAAAGCCCTTCTGCAAAGACAATCCTGTATCCATGGCCAGGTAAATTTACTCCCAATCTGTTTTCTACTTGCCTTCATAGGCATGCATTGAATCTTGAAGTTTTGTTAAGACTGACACTGCATCTCTCCCCCTAGGTTACAATGTAAGCATCACCTTTGCCTTTGCATTATGATTTGTGCCAGACCGATTGCTCCCTTGCCCCCATCAGTTTTGGGAACTGTTCGTTTTCTATGACTCCCAAACCAATATTACCACACACATCGCCATTGCAGGAAAGCTAAGCCCTTGCACCAGTCAGAGTTCCTCCTTAGGTGCCCCATAAC